TCCAATATAAACCAGCGCAAAACACAATAATATAATAATAATAATTATTATTATAATTATTAATAAATAATTATAAAATAATTTTCAAAGTCCAGTGATGAAAATAAGTGACCACAATACCGTGACACAAAAATCTAAAAAAATATATACCGTATTTTTCGCTCCATAAGACGCACCTGACCATAAGACGCACCCTAGGTTTTAGAGGCAGAAAACAGGGGAAAAAAAAATTCTGAACTAATGGACTGCAGACACAGTACAGGAGATGACCAGAGACTGCGGACAGCACAGGGATGACCAGAGACTGTGGACAGCACAGGGATGACCAGAGACTGCAGACAGCACAGGGATGACCAGAGACTGCGGACAGCACAGGGATGACCAGAGACTGCGGACAGCACAGGGATGACCAGAGACTGCGGACAGCACAGGGATGACCAGAGACTGCGGACAGCACAGGGATGACCAGAGACTGCGGACAGCACAGGGATGACCAGAGACTGCGGACAGCACAGGGATGACCAGAGACTGCGGACAGCACAGGGATGACCAGAGACTGCGGACAGCACAGGGATGACCAGAGACTGCGGACAGTACAGGAGATGACTGCTGACCTTTGGGGAGGGAGGGGGAGCGGGTACCTGAATTTGACAGGTACCCGCTCTTCCGCAGAGTTTTTTTTTTTATCTTACCTGTTCCTCGATCCAGCTGCGCGCTGTCTTCCCGGCTTCTGTAGTGTGGGCGCTCGTCGGACAGCCGGATGCCTAGTGCGCATGCGCGAGAAGCGCTGCGCTTTGTGATTGGTCCGGCGGCTTCTGGGATCTGTCATGTGTCCCAGGTACTGCCTTACCATTCACAAAGAGCACCGCTTCTTGTGCATGCGCACTTGGGACCCGGCTGTCACGCACACTACAGAAGCCAGGAAGACAGCGCGCCGCTGGATAGAGGGACAGGTAAGGTCCCACTGCAGAGCTGAGCGGCCGGCCCGGTATTCTGACACGGCGGCGGTGGAAATACCGGACCGGCCACTATATATTCGCTCCATAAGACGCACTGACATTTTCCCCCCTTTTTTGGGGAAAAAAAGTGCGTCTTATGGAGCGAAAAATACGGTATATATAAAAGTCCAGTGATCTGAAAAAACTTTCTTAAAAAATATAATAAACTTCAGTGCTTCAAATAATTCTTCCACCATCCACCAGTGCCAAAAACCAACATAAACCGCACTCACCAGATATTGGTGAATAAAACACCTTTCAGGATTATTTAGGGCTCCTGGACCCCCTTTGAGGACTCCTCTATTTTCGACCTCAAACCTATGGTTGATTCTTCAATCGTCTCCTCGCCACACCACCAAGTTCCAAAGGGAGAAAAAAAACTAATAGTGTGATACTGTTATGCCCCTTTTATAATTAATTCATGCCAAACCACTCACATTTCAAAGGATAAAGGACCAGCATTTATTTAAGGACATCATATGAATTTTCGAGTAACAAATACGAATTTCCACAGCTCGTAGGAACTCACAGCCTTGATACAGCAGGATGACAGCCTCCATAACAAACGAACGTTCTTACGAACTTTCTTTGCTCGTCAAAAAAATGACCCGCCTGGAACACATCCCTCGGCGTGCGTTCCACTCACCAGAAATTACGTTGAACGTTCTGGAATCCGACCGGAAATACGTCAATGCATTTCGCCCCACCCACAGGGCGTTCTCAAGACCAAGGTCTTTTTAGATTTTTGTGTCACGGTATTGTGGTCACTTATCTTCATCACTGGACTTTATTATTTATTAATTGTGTTTTGCGCTGGTTTATATTGGAATATTAGCTCTGAAAATTGGCCTGGGGGTATAAGTGTCCAATAGGCAAGTGGTTACAGTGTCATCTAAGGAGATTTTTAAATACCATATTTTTGCACCATTCACTGCGCATTTGTAGTTTTGAAGCATGACATTTTAGGGATCATTTACTCAGCGTAACACCATGTTTTATATTTTACCAAAAAATTGGGTATTATATGTGTGTTTATCTGCATTAAAATTCATTAAAGTGTATTGCGGCCAGGTCTCCTCCCCCGACATCAGTGTGCCTGACCAATGCCTTCTGGAAGAATGGTCAAACCTTTCCATAGACACCCTCCTAAACCTTGTGGACGGCCTTCCCAGAAGAGTTGAAGCTGTTATAGCTGCAAAGGGCGGGGCCAACTCAATATTGAACCCTACGGACTAAGACTGGGGGGCCATTAAAGTTCATGTGCGTGTAAAGGCAGACGCCCAATACAATACTTTTTGCAATATAGTATATGTTATATATAAAAACAATTTTTATTATAAAAAAAAAAAAAATCAGACAATTAACCAAACCAAATTTGCAATAAAGGTTAGTTATCCTTTTTGCTGTCACATGTCCTGTAATACTGTATCTGATTGTTTGTGTTGGCTACTAGTGGCATATTCAATGTCCTAGTTTTGGTACATTATTTGTCATTTATACATCTTCACATTTAAATAAATTTATAAATCTTCATATAGGTGACAGGTACCTTATACAAGATGTGAGTCTTTTTAGATGATATAGGATTATACCCCACACTACAGGATATAACACAGAACAGAAAATATACCCTAGCATCCTTACTGTTCTAGAGGAACTAATAGAGTAAAATAGAACAGAATAGAAGAGAATAAAAAATAAGAATAAAATAGAATAGAACATATAGGAATACTGTAGAATAGAAAAAAATAGAATAGAAAAGACAACAGAATATAAAATAAAGTAATATAAAATAAGTAAAACAGAATAAAATAGAAGATAAAAGAATGGGAAAGAAAATAAAGGAACAGTATAGGAATAATAGAACTGAATAAAACAGAACAGAACAGAAAAAAACTATGAAATAGAATATAACTGCCTTCCTAAACTCAAATTGCGAATAGAATAAATTCAAATTTCAAAAGAATAGATTAGAATAGGATACAAAAGAATAGAAAATAAATGAATGGGATATAACTGTCTTTCGAAATTTTGAATAGATTAGAAAAGAATAATAAATAAAATATAATAATACAGCCCTCTTCTGAAATTCAAATTTTGAAATAGAATCAATTACAATAAAATAGAAAAGAGTAGAACAAAAAATAAAATCGCATAAAATAGAAAAAAGAATAGAAAGAATTAATAGAATATAACCGTTTTCCGAAATTCAATTTTCAAATAGAATAAGTTTGAATTCAAATAGATTAGAATAGAATAGAATAGAAAAGAACAATAGATAAGAATAGAAAAAAAACAATAAGATAGAATAAATAGAATATACCTGTCTTCCGAAATTTGAATTTCAAATAGAATAAATTTGAATGCCAATTTGGATGCTGATTGGAATTTTTCAAATTTGGAAAATTCAAATCGAATTTAAATGAATATACAAAACTAAACGAATTCCGAAAGTGAAATAAAAGAATCTAACTAAACAAAATTATTTGAATAACAAAACTAATTTTTTCATTCTGCACATGTCTAGTGTATGTGACATATCCTAACTATATACATATTTATTGTATTTCTGGTAGGTACTGTAACTTACAGGATTTCCACTAGGCACGCTTCTTATCAGCCGAATGAGTCACACTGAATGTTACAAATGTGGTAAATGTTTTCTTGTAAAGTCAGAACATACCAATCACCAGGAGATTCACACAGGTGAAAGGCCAGGGTCATGCTCTGCACGTGGTAAATATCTATACAGGTCACAGCTTGATGACCACCAGAGCTGTCATACTGGAGGGAAGCCATATTTATGTCTGGAATGTGGCAAATGTTTTCAAACCAGCTCTGGTCATAAACAGTCAGTAATACAGCAGCCGATCTCTTGCTCTGATTGCAATGAAAGTTAAAAAGGCAGAAAACACCTTGAAAGATACAAAGGAGAGAAACCATATTCATTGAATGAATGGGAGACATCCTTTAACCCCTTGCCTACCGGGCACTTATACCCCCTTCCTGCCCAGGCCAATTTTCAGCTTTCAACCTGTCGCAGTTTGAATGACAATTGCGCGGTCATGCAACACTGTACCCATATGAAACTTTTAGCATTTGTATCACACAAATCGAGCTTTCTTTTGGTGGTATTTATTCAGCACTGGGGGTTTTATTTTTTGCAGTATAAACAAAAAAAAGAGCAAAAAATTTGAAAAAAGTTTTTCTTTGTTTCTATTAGAAACTTTTGCAAACAGGTAATTTTTCTCCTTCACTGATGTGCGTTGATGAGGCTGCATTGATGGGCACTGATAGGCAGCATTGATGGGCACTGATGAGGTGGCACGGATAGGCAGCACTGATAGGAGGCACTGCTGGGCAGCACTGATGCTGCTGCACTGCTGGGCAGCACTGATGGGTGGCACTGATGGGTGGCACTGATGGGTGGCACTGCTGGGCAGCACTGATGTGGGGTTCTACTGGGCACAGGTGGGTGGCACTGGTAGGCACTGCTGGGCACAGGTGGGTGGCACTGCTGGGCACAGGTGGGTGGCACTGCTGGGTACAGGGGGGGGTACTGTAGGACACAGGTGGGTAGTATTGATGGGCACAGGTGGGTGGCACTGGTAGGCACTGCAGGGCACAGGTGGTAGGCACTGCAGGGCACAGGTGGGTAGCATTGATGGGCACAGGTGGGTGGCACTGATGGGTACAGGTAGGTGGCACTGATGGGCACATCAGGTGGGTGGCACAGGTGGTGCTGCACTACTGGGCACTGATCATCAGTGCCGATCACTTCTCTGACAATTGCCTGTTATTGGCAGTACTTTCCTTAAGCTGTGACAGCGATCACCAGCGGCGCCGGGTGCGCGCTGCAGGGGGTGTGTTCTGGAATGACGTCCATGGACATTGTCCCAGAACTAGACAACTGTGCTGTAGCCGTCTTTCGGCTATAGCGCGATTGGGAAGAGGTTAAAAATGATTCAGTAATCCCTGAGCACCCAAAAAAATCTAACAAGAATGAAACAATTTAAATGTTCAGAATGTAACAATTGCTTCTTACAAAAGGAAAACCTTAATGAACATGAGATGATTCATACAGGAGAGAAGCCATATCCATGTTCTGAATGTTAAAGGTTTTGCAAGAAAGTCAAAATTGATCTGACACCAAATGATTCACACAGGAGAGAAGCCATATCTGTGTTCTGAATGTGATAAATGTTTTAGATTCAGTACAGGGCTAATCCGACACCAAATGATCCACATAGGAGAGAAAGCTATATCCATGTTCTGAATGTGGTAAATGTTTTCAAAGCGATGCAGAGTTGATCCAACATCAGAGAGTCCAAGCAGAAAAGAAGCTCTGTTCATATTCTGATTATGGTAAATACTTTCCACAAAAGTCACTACTTGCCATCCACCAGAGGTAACTACTAGTGAAGCCATATCAGTTTTACATAGTGACATAGTTAATCTGGTTTAAAAAAAAGACACAAGTCCATCCAGTTAACCGTTTCAATACCGTGTGATTTTACCCCTTCCTGCCCAGGCCATTTTTCAGGTTTCAGCGCTCTCACACAATTTGAATGACAATTGCGCGGTCCTACAACACTGTACCCAAACTAAAATTTTATCATTTTCTTCACACAACTAGAGCTTTCTTTTGGTGGTATTTAATCACCGCTGGGGTTTTTATTTTTTGCTAAATTAACAAAAAAAGACCAAAAAGTTTGAAAAAAAAACACATTTTTCTTTGTTTCTGTTATAAAAGTTTACAAATAAATAATTGTTCTTCATAAGTTTAGGCCGAGATGTATTCTGCTACATGTCTTTGGTGAAAATAACCCACATTAGGATGTATTATTTAGTTTGTAGGAAAGTTATAGAGTTCACAAACTATGGTATAGATCTGAATATTGATCAATCCTGAAGTACTGACAGCCAATCTAATTTCTTGAGGTCCAAGAATGTCAGAATAGTACAGATATCCCCAAATGAGCCCTTTTTGCAGAGTAGACAGTCCGACGTACTTCATAAGAGGCATGGCGAGTTTTTTGAAGTTGTATTTTTTTGTCATAATTTTTCGGAAAATTAAAAAATTAAAAAAAATTATTTTTACAATTTTTTTTTTTTACATACTGTCACCAGTGCAGTACAGCATCTTCATATAACTGGCATGGCGGTGAACATGGACACTGACTGGTGACAGTATGAAAAAAAAAAAATATATTTTTTTATTTATTTTTTTATTATATTTAATTTTTTATTACATTTTTTTAAAGATTTTTTTTTCATATTTTACTATGACCAAAGTAGTACAATGTTACCATAGTAACATTGTACTACTTTGGGGGAGTGATCAGTATTTTTTATTTTTTTTTTTTATACACAGTTTGCTTATAGCAAAGAATTACTTTGCTATAAGCAAGCATTTAGCTGAATGAAATCGATGCATTCAGCTTTTTTTGCTTTTTTTTTTTTTGTGCTTAGCTGTCATGTGCATGTGACCTGCTGTGACCATTCACAGCTAGGCACTAGTATACAATGGATGGCATCATGAATGAAGCCATCCATTGTATACAACTATCATGTGACCTGCTGTGATTGGTCACAGCAGGTCACATGGTACCAGCTACGGGAGCCGGTACTCGGATCTGTCATCGGCCGTGTCCGAGGTGCACGGCCCGTGACAGATCCCGCTGCTGCGCTGCTCTGCTGTGCCGCAAACTGCGCATGTGCGGGAGCACGCTAAATGGCGTGCACCCGGAATACAGGAGCGCATTTGAAGCCGCCAAATGGCCATTGGCCGGGCGGCTAATGGTTAAACCAACGGAGAAAAAAATACACACATAGAAAATCTCCATATACAGTATGCTATCCCATACCCACAGTTGATGCATAGAAAGTAACCCCCCCCCCCTCAATAAAGCACGATCCAATTTTCTCCTGCAGGGGAAAAATTCCTTCCGGATCCCCAAAAGGCAATCAGATATTCCCTGGATCAACTTTCCCTATAAATGTTATATCCAGTTATACTCTGTGTATCTAGGAAAAAATCCAGGAATTTTTTACACCAATCCACTGAGCTGGCCAGAACTGACTTACTGTGAAGAAATCTTTCCATATTTGGATATTAAATTTCTTTTCCTCCAGATGTAAAGAGTGCCCCCTTGTCCTCTGTGATGACCTCAGGGTGAATAACTCTACACCGAGTTCACTATATGAACCATTTTTGTATTTTATACATGGAGATCCTATCCCCCTTATGTATTATACATGGTGATCATATCCCCCCTTATGTATCATACATGGAGTTCATATCCCCCCTTATGTATCATACATGGAGATCATACATGGTGATCATATCCCCCCTTATGTATTATACATGGAGATCATATCCCCCCCTTATGTATTATACATGGAGATAATATCCCCCCTTATGTATTATACATGGAGATCATATCCCCCCTTATGTAATATACATGGAGATCATATCCCCCCTTATGTAATATACATGGAGATCATATCCCCCCTTATGTATTATACATGGAGATCATATCCCCCCTTATGTATTATACATGGAGATCATATCCCCCCTTATGTATTATACATGGAGATCATATCCCCCCTTATGTATTATACATGGAGATCATATCCCCCCTTATGTATTATACATGGAGATCATATCCCCCCTTATGTATTATACAAGGAGATCATATCCCCCCTTATGTATTATACATGGAGATCATATCCCCCCTTATGTATTATACATGGAGATCATATCCCCCCTTATGTATTATACATGGAGATAATATCCCCCCTTATGTATTATACATGGAGATCATATCCCCCTTATGTATTATACATGTAGATCATATCCCCCCTTATGTATTATACATGGAGATCATATCCCCCCTTATGTATTATACATGGTGATCATATCCCCCCTTATGTATTATACATGGTGATCATATCCCCCCTTATGTATTATACATGGTGATCATATCCCCCCTTATGTATTATACATGGTGATCATATCCCCCCTTATGTATTATACATGGTGATCATATCCCCCCTTATGTATTATACATGGAGATCATATCCCCCCTTATGTATTATACATGGAGCTCATATCCCCCCTTATGTATTATATATGGAGATCATATCCCCCTTTAATCTCCTTCTTAAGAGAGAATAAATTCAGTTCCTCTAACCTTTCCTCATAGCTGATGTCCTCCATGCCTCTTATCAGTTTGGTTGCCCTTCTCTGCACTTTCTCCAGTTCCCCAATGTTCATTTTGTGAATTGGTGCCCAAAACTGAACTGCATATTCCAGATGAGGTCTTACTAATGATTTGTACCGGGGAAATGATATCTCTCTCTGGAGTCTATACCTCTCTTAATACAAAAAAAGGATTTTTCCCGAGTCATCTTCTAGGACAGCTCACTTGAGAGATAGGCTCCTCCCAGGAAACACCCGCTCCACCTTTTTTCCTCTATAAGTAGCCTCTCTCCCAGGGGACCCTCAGTATTAGTGTTTCCTCAGGCCAGGAGTGAGCTACGCCCGTTTTGTTGTTTTTCTAGGGCCACCTGGCGAGGTACAGAGGCCCCCTGGCTGAGGCCCCCCTTTCCTCCTTTTCTAAGCAAGGCAGGGGCCTTGTGAGGGGGCTTCAGTCAGGTCCCCTTCGTGTAAACCCCTCTGGGGTTGGGGGTGACAGACCCCAAATGGTCCTAGCGGGGCTCTCCAGGGGGGCAGAGCCCGCTACGCCGACCTGGGCAGGATTGCCTTTCCCTTGGGCTGAGGTGAGCTTACCTTTTCCGGGATCTCTGCAGCATGGACGGAGGTCGGGCAGGACGCCGGAATCGCGTCATTTCCGGGCGCCGGGAAGTGACGTCACTTCCGGCAAAGGAACAGGAAGCGGCGCTGCCGCCATGTGGGCTATGGGCGGCGGGCCGTAGAACTCGCCCACACCACGGCCGCTTCTTCCACCGGCGGCCGTGAGAGGGAGGCCGGCGCATGAGGACCCCAGGGAGAAGGGCGGAGCCCGCCAAACCCTGCAGAACAGCCGCACCAAGGGGGAGTTCGCGGCAATGATGGAGGCAGATCGGTCAAGGCTGGGGGAGGCCTGCCGCAGGTAAGGGCCTTTTTGGCTGCCACAACCACCCCCCCCCCCCCGCCCTCTCATTCCCCCCTGCCCTTCTTCCCTACACTACCTGGGGGCTTTCTGGGTGCTGGGGGGCCACGTAGGGGCCCCAAGGGGGCTGCACGGCGGATGGGCGCCCTATGTTCCTCATCCCCAGGTGGGGCCACAGGGGGGTAGCACAGAGGCTTGGTGGGTGGCATGCCTGCCTTGCAGTGAATGGGTTGTGGGTTTGATTCCTGACTATGACACCTCCTGCATGCTTTGCATGGTTTGCATGCTCTCCCTGTGCATGCATTGATTTCTAAGAGCCCAGGACAAAGCCCCAACCAGGCACCTCAGGGAGATGACCTGGAGGAGGAACCACCGGATTTCTCCCTCCATGACCAGCTGTATGCAGGTCTTTAAAAAAAAAAAAAAAAAAGAGCGGTCCATGCGTATTCTACTTTATGGTCCACCATCAGAAGGGAGTGGGAAGAGCCGGAAAAGGAGGCTCTTTCCCAAATACCTCAGGAGGAGATTCCCATTCAAGGAAGAAGATGCTGACACCGGGGGGACAGCATTCCGTGTGGCTCAGCGGGAAGCAACATAGTCTCTCACTGCAAAAAGGCCAGGTGCAAACCCAGGCTCAGGCACAAATTCTACTCTTAACTTGCCCAAGGCCAGATGCTCCTCTTTCTAGAACAAGGCGCCTCGGCGGGAGAGATCCGGTAGTCGCTGCCGGTCTTAGGGGAACCTGTGGCTTTCACTGCAGACGCATCGATGGAAGCTATTTGATTTACAAGCGGAGTCTACTGCGCTTGTAAATTCTGCCAGAAGAGCTATATGGTTAAGAATCTTGGCAGGGGGATCTTGCCTCTAAATGCAAATTCTGCGGTCGGCCCCTCGAGGGAAATACGCCTCTTCGGGCCAGTACTAAATTCGGTCCTGGAAAAGTCAGCCAACAGTAGAAAAGGCTTTCCAGCCCCAAGCAGGCCTACAGGGCAGAGGGGGTTTCGGCCCAACAGGCAGTATACGACAAAAGGAGACTAGGCACAGGCTGGGGATCAAGGATTAGTCAAGGGGAATGGAAGACTTCCTCTTCAACCCCAACCAGAATAGATCCAGGAACCGGGCCAAGTGACCGG